GGGGGGGATTTATCAAAGCAATTACGACAGTTTCAGCCTCTTAGATCATTTGTTTATGTGCAAATCTGTATTTTAACATGTGCCCCCTGTTTTAATTTGAGCTTGCACTACTTGTCCAACTGCACGTGTCTTTTGCACGTGTTTTGCACCTGTTTTCTTCAGAGCTTGCAATACTTTTTCCACTGCACGTGTTTTGCATGTGTTTTCATCTGCACTTGCTCTGGGGCTGTATGAAACTGGAGCATCACCTAAGAAAACAATCACTTAAGAAGTCCCCATGACCACTTCTTCAAGGTGCGACAGTTAAGCTTTTTGCCTGAAGTTACGAGTCTTCTTTCCTGGAGTCTTTTAAACCTCATTTATCAACAGCATTGCACTAGCTTGATAAATCTGGTGCAAATATATTCCGTGCAAGTCCAAACACTCGCAATTGCCATAATAAATTCCCCCCCAACATGTCTAATGAAAATGACATTTATTATCAAGGCTTAGACGGCCTTGATATAAGGTGCAAATAAAATGCAAAATCTGTCACTTAAAGAAAAGTGGAGCAACTCCCTTGATAAATCCCCCCCAATGTGTTTTAGCAATGGTGACATGTGCCCTACTGATTCCCGTGATGTAAGAAGAATAATAGGTCCACTTTAAAAACATTTTTAAATAACAGGTCCACTTTAAATCCATTTTATACATCACTTTAAAATGCTGCGAAACACAATGACACATTGGTCAGTTTTTATTGTCTCTGATATGTTAAAGAACTATGAGGTGAGTGAAAATCACTCAGCCTCTTAGTTCGCGCGGACTTGTGACAATGAAACTGTCACACGTCTTCTCAATAGATCGGGAAGTGAGCGAACACATACCGTTGCTCGCTTACTTCTCGATCCTGTGCCCGCAGAGAGCCGTGAGTGTCACTCACGGCTCCCCACAGGGATTCCCACGCTCCCCTGTCCGATCCTCCAGCGCTGACTGGAGGAACGGACCGGGAAGGGGGCGGGTACAGCTGGCTCTGCCTCTAGATAGGCAGAGCCAGCTGCCACTCACACAGCTGGGTGGATCCAGACAGTAATGTCGGGATCCGTCCAGGCTGTGGTGGTCTCAGTATACCACGAGCTGTAGCTCACGGTATACTGAGCTTTGGGTCACGGGAGGACGCTAGTTTGTGTCCTTCCGGGACAATGACCACTAGGGAGCAGCATAACAAATATTAACTATGGCTATACTAATACCAGTGCTTTGTACTAACCATAGAACTGCTGGAGGCAGCACAATAATAGCAAACATCACTTTACTCACATTTCTGCTTTCTTCAGCTGATATTTAAAAAGAAGACTTTGTACTGAATACATGTTTGTATTTTAAACCTATGGGTCAGAATATTTTTAAAGATAAGATTAGCTGTCACTTTGATTCATGAAGGGACAAATGTATAGAATATGGAGGAACCGTTTAGAGGATGGGGCTTTACCTTTGGGGAGCTGAGATGTTAAATGAAGGTTTACTGAAAAAAAATACAGTATATGATGACACTTTGATTGATGAGACAGCCGAAAATGTTTTAGAGCATGGAATATAGTCTGTTATCCAAAAAGTGTAAAAAATATGACGGAAAGCAAATGTAAAAAAATATATTAAGGCCCCATTCACACCAGTTGTGTTGGTGTGCAATTTGCAACACCTGCCAACGCAAGGACATCTGAAAATGAATGGCTGTGAATGAGAGAATTTTGCCATGGTGCATTGCCTTGATGTGAGCTTCCCTGCACTGAAAAAAAGTAGAGCCGACTCAGAGCAACACAAGGTGTGTCAATGCAGCACACACCGACACAAGGCAATACCAACACCTCATACAGCTTAGTGTAAAAATCCCCCCAAAAAAATGCAATGCAACCCAATACATGTCAACGTACTGAATGTACGCATTTTGGTGTGAATGCACCCTAAAAGTTTTTTTGTTTTTGTTTTGTTTTTACGACTAACTTAAAGTTTATGTAGAGCAGTGGTTCTCACCCTGTGCAACCTCAGGACCCACATTTGTCTTTGGCCATTAAGTCGCGACCCAAGTTGCACGGCATTTGGGTACTCCACGTTCTGGGCACGGCCGTACTAACTGTGGGTGGGAGGTGCATTTGGGATACAATTCAAATCAATGGCAGCGCACCTCATACACCAGAATGCACGGTAGGTGCGATTGTGTGGTACAGTTTGACGCACTGTACTAGTATGAACGGGCCCTCAAAAACACATACATACATACAGTCACTTTTTTTTTTTTTTTTAAGGTCCACCCAGTCTCCCTAACTAAACTTACTAGAACTAGAGTGGATCCTCAGCCTGGGGTCCAGTGTGGGCTGCTGTGACAGAGCTCCATCCATATGTGCATTGCTTGCCCAGCTCCCTTGTGTGCCCTGTAGAGTTGCTGGGAGCCAGAACGTGACGTCACTCCGGTCCAGGCACCTCTACAATGCATGTATAGATTGAGCTCCCTCACGGCTATAGCCCCAGCCTGCCCTACCTAAAGCTGACACTCAGTGCTGGGCAGCATATTCTGAATGGCTGCTTGGTGCGAGAACTGACAGTGCCGCGCTAGGGGGAGGCAGAGGAGCCTCTCACCTTTAAAAGTGGAAGGCATGCGGTGACCCACTGAACACAAGGTCACGACCCACTTATAGGTCACGACCCACCAGTTGAGAACCAAGGATGTAGAGAAACTGTAGGAGATCATTAGGATAGAGATACAACAAAGGATAAAAAAGTGAAAATGGCATTTGTATATACCTTCATTTCTCTTCATGTCAACCTTCTGTCATTCCCTGCACAGCTGCACCCAGACTGGGGGAGGGAGGGTACTCTGGGCCAATCTGCACAATATACACAACATTGATTGTTCTGGAACTGGCACACTTTGGTTAGTTGGAATGTAATAAGATTCATATATGAAAGTTGGTTTGGAGTGGGGATCAGTACTTAGCTCAGTAGCTGAAGCTCAGATTACACACATGGCTAACTAAATGACAGGCTGTTCACAGGTTTTCAATTAGAGAGAGTCAACCTGAAAGGAAACAGCTGTGCTTTTACATGAGGAAACCAACAGTGCTCTATTACACCAATAGTAAATGTTTTAATGTTTTTTTTAAACTAGGATTTAATAATAATAAAAATAATAATAATTACTATTATTATAACAGTAATATAGTAATAAAAATAAAAATAATTTAAAAAGCAAAAAAAATTACAAGCTTTAAAAAAAATAAATACATAAAATTGACTAAAAAAACATTTCCTATTTTTAAAAAACAAAAACAGATTTATCTCTAGTAAGCACAGAGTTAAAATGTTCTTCAAATATTTATTATAAATGGAAATATTTGCACTTGGAAACATGTCAGGGTTTAAAGTGTGTTATCTCATTTTATGAAATATAATTAAGGGTATGATGAGATAAAGCCTTCTAAAAAGGTGTATTTATTTCTCAGGCTGCACTAATATGCATTTACAGTACTAGTACCAGATTGTTTAATCAGATTAGCGGCTTTCCACAGTATTACAGCAGCAATTATACACAGGCAACACAGTTATTGGCTTAATCACAATAATGGAAAAGTACACATTTCTAGATATCACCAGGTAATAAGTAACCCGTGCCATATCACTGCTGAAGTGTGTCTGGGTGATGGAAAATGTTTCCTATTGTATAATATTCCTTTATTGAGGTTAGACAACTTATGTTGTTGGTGAGACGTGATATGAGACAAAATTTTTGGAAAACTAACCTGTAAGGACAATTTCACAATGATGCAGTGCTGTACGCATGTTGGTGTCCCTCAGCGTCTTCACGTCTAATGCAAGTTAATGGACCTGCATAAGATGTAATGGCGTCAGCAGTCTTTAGACCGCTGGAGCCGGTGGTACTGAGAATCATATGAGTATAATATTATTATTATTATTATACAGGATTTATATAGCGCCAACAGTTTGCGCAGCGCTTTACAAATAAGGAAGATATTACACAACATCACAATACAATTCAAGACAAGATGGTAAGGAAGGCCCTGCCCGTGAGGCCTTACGATCTACAAGGTAGGGGCCAGTGATACATGCGGAGGTTGCGGTGTGGGGATGAATTGTTTGAGAAAGTAATGGTTCAGTGGTTAGGTTGAGGTGGGATAGGCTTCCCTGAAGCGATGAGTCTTAAGAGATCACCTAAAGGCAGTCAGAGTGGGAGACAGTCGGATAGGTTGGGGTATATCTGCTTTATTCTATCTACTAGAGTAAAACGAGCACCTAACCTTTGCAGCGGGGCGGTAGCTGTCACCAGGACAAATAGGGCATAAATCTGCCTTGCAGGGACATATTGACAGTAAAGGAAACCAATAGAAAAACCTAAATAGAGTTATGATCCCAGTTTCCAGTAAAAAAGTAAAACAATAATGTCATTATTAGTCCCCCTTCAGTCTATCATGAACACTACTGCCGGACTCATACACCTCACTAACTGCCCAGTGTCCACCCCCCCTGCCAATCCCTCCACTGGCTCCCACTTGCCCAACAAATAAAATTAAAAATACTAACAACATACAAGTATGCCTGTGAAGGTTCTCATTCATCCGGGTCATGATATATGTGGGGGAAAAAAATAAGTGAAAGCAACTGGACTTGCTGTATTTTTCTTGAAGACGTTTCACTGGTCGTCCAACCAACTGGTCGTCTGAATTGAGAAAGCTGGTTGGATGACCAGTG